ACACACACACACACACACACACACACACACACACACACACACACACATAGGCATATGAAGAAGTATTCTAAATCACTTTTGATTAGAGAAATGCAAATTAAAACAACTCTGAAATACCACCTCATACCAATCAGATTAGCTAGTATGACAAAAAAGGAAAATGATAAATGTTGGAGACGATGTGGGAAAATTGGGACACTAATGCACTGTTGGTGGATTTGAGAACTGATCCAACCATTCTGGAGAGCAATCTGGAATTCTGCCCAAAGGGCAATTAAACTGTGCTTACCCTTTGATCCACAATACCACTACTAGGTCTGTATCCCAGAGAGATCGTAAAAAAGAGAAAAGGACCTACAGATGCAAAACTATTTATAGCAGCCCTTTTCGTGGTGGCAAAGTATTGGGAATTGAGGGGATACCCATCAATTGAAAAATGGCTGAACAAGCTGTGGTATATGAATGTAATAGAATACTGTTGTGCAATAAGAAATTATGAACAAGCAGATTTCAGAAAAACCTGGAAAGATATGTACAAACTGATGCAAAGTGAAATGAGCAGAACCAGGAAAACATTGTACACAGTATGAGCAACATTGTGTGATGATCAACTATGAATGACTCGGCTCTTCTGAGCAACACAGTGATCCAGTACAAGTACAAAGGACTCACAAAGGAAAATGTTATCCACATCCAGATAAAGAACTGATGGACTTTGAATGCAGATCGAAGCATATTTTTTTTACTTTATTCTTTCTCATGGTTTTATTTTCTCTTGATCTATTTGTTTTTCCACAACTGTGATGAATATGGAAATATGTTTTATGTGATAGCACATGTATAAACTATATCAAACTGCCTACCATTTTTAGAAGAGGGGAGGGAGGGAGAGAGAAAAACTTGAAATTCAAAATCTTATAAAAATGAATGCTAAAAGTTTTTCTTAATATTAATTGGGGAAAATAAAATACTATTTATTTATTTATATTTGTTTGTTTGTTTTTGCTAGGCAGTGGGGTTAAGTGACTTGCCCAGGGTCACATAACTAGT